TTCCTCGTTCGATCCATCCACTCCATTCCGCCGTTATCGGTCCATCCATCCATAGATCCGTCTATCCGCCGCATGGATCCGCCGTTTTCGCCTGGATCCACCATCTATCCATGCCACGGGTCCACCCCTCCGTGTCCACCATCTGGCTCATGTTCCTGGGTCCATCTATCCGCCGTCCATCCACTCCGCCGCATAGATCCGCATACAGATCCTTGTCCATCCATATGGGATCATCCACCCGTTATCCATGCCATCCACCGTTTATCCACTCATCCATGCCGCCGTCCATCCTTATCCTCCATATCCACTCGATCCGGTCATCCATCCACTCCGCCGCCGTTATCCTTCCTGTCTTGTCCTCCGCCGTCGTCCGTCATGGGATCCGCCGTCCTCCATGGGATCCACCGTATCACTCGTTCCGCCGTCCGCATCCATCCATCCATAGATCCATCCACTCCGCCGCCGGATCCATATCGATCCGGCCATCCTCCATTCATGGATCCACTATCCTCATTCCGGGTCCGTATCCGGTCGCCGCTGGATCCATCCGTTATCCGCATGCCGTCCATCCGCCGTCCACCGTCTTTCCGCGTGGGATCCACCATCCTCCACTGGGTCCGCTGGATCCGCATGTGTCTCCGCTCCGCTGGGTCCATGGGTCCGCTGGGTCCGGTCTGTCCGCATACAGGGTCCGCTGGATCCGTCTATCCATATCCGCATGCCTGATGTCCATAGATCCATCCTCCATTTCATATGTCCATCCACTCCATAGGGTCGTCCACTCCTTCCATCCACTCCGCGCCGGGTCCGCCGTATTATCCATATGCCGTTATCCTTCCGCATACGCGGTCCGCATAGATCCGCTCCGTCATCCATCCGCCGCCGTCCACCATCCTCCACTCCGCCGGTCCGCTGGATCAGCCATCCATCCGCATTCCGCCGTCCACCGTCTGTCGGTCGTGATCCATCCGTCGCCTGGGTCCGCTGGATCCACCGTCTTTCCACTCGTGGATCCACCCGTATCCGCTCATATACGGATCCATCTATCCGCATACCAGATCCACCCTCTGTCCTCGTACCGTATCTCCACCCATCTACCGGCTCACTTGGCTCCAGATCCCCATCTATCACTCCTTTTGCATGGATCCACCGTCTATCCACTCATGCACACACATGGGATCCGCACCATCTATCGCTCATACCACTGGATCCCTATTATATCCGCGCTCATGCACCGGTCCACCCATCTATCCGCATGCATGGATCGTCCGCCGGATCTATCATCATGGAACAGGATCCATATCTATCCGCTCGTACCTGATCGATGTCCATCTATCCATGGATCCACGTCTGTCGCTCCGTACGTATCGTCCATCCACTCATACTTATAAGATCCCACCATCCATCACTGATACAAGATGAATCCACCATCCACATGAATCCACCATCCACCTTCCGTCCACCCATCCACATGCACATAGATCCACCATCTTTCCACCTTCGTCCACCATCTATCCACCTGAATCCACCATCCAATTCCACCATCTATCCACATAGATCCACCATCCACAAGACCACCATCTATCCTTCAGATCCACCATCCTCCTTTTCGTCCACCATCTATTTTCATACAGATCCACCATCCACTCATACCACTGAATCCATCTATCACTCCTTCATTCGGTCCATTCATCTACCTGCTCATACAGATCCACCATCCCTCCACTTTCATATACACTCACAAGATCCACCAATCTATCCACATACCACGTTCACCATCCTCCACTCCTTCATCCATCCTCCACTCATGCGCTCGGTCCACCATGCATCAGATCCTTCCGGCTATGGATCCACCATAGATCCACACATATACACAGATCCATGCATCTATCCACTCCTTAGATCCACCATCTATCCACTCCATGCCACTACATGGGTCCACCCTGTCTACTCACTACTGGACTGGGATCCATCCATCCACTCATGCCGTCCATCCATCCACTGGGATCCTTCACATACGTGGAATCCGTCCATTCCTTCCGTCCACTCATATGGGTCCATGTATCCACTCCTCCATAGATCCATCCATCCATGGGTCCACCATCCTTTGTGGGATCCATCTATCCACTCATTGGATCCATCTGTCCACTGGATCCATATCCACCTCCATAGGTCCATGCGTATCCACTCATGCATGGGATCAGCCGTCCACTCGTTCCTCCGATCCATTGTATCCATAGGATCCATCATCCATGGTCGCCGATCCGTCCATCCTCCGTGGGTAGATCCATGGGATCCGCCGGCTCTTTCCGCATGCACGTAGATCCACGCCACTCCACTCACGGGTCCACCGGGTCCATCTGTCCGTGTCTGGATCCATCCTGGGTCAGTTCGGGTCCACCATCTATCCACTCCGCTGGGTCCATCCATAGATCCGTACCCATAGATCCACCATCAGATCCTTATGGACTCCGCCGTCTATCGCACCATACCGCTGGATCGTCCACCGGATCTATCACTCCTCACTCGGATCCGCCGTCTGTCGCTCATCTGTCATCTGGTCCATGATCTATCCATACGTCCATGCGGATCTATCGTCCGCCTGGGGGATCCGCCGTAGATCCTCTCTCCGCCGCGGATCCATCCATGCCAGATACATCGCTCCGCCGTCCATCCGCCTGTCGTCTATCACGCATGGGTCCGTCCGTCCGTCGCCGTCCGCCACCGGGTCCATCCAGATCCATCGTGCATGGATCCACCGTCTATCCTGGATCCTGTATCCATCCGTCCGTCCACCCGGTCCGCCTGGATCCGCCTCATGGATCCATCCATGCCATTGATGGATCAGCATCTATCCACGGATACGTCCGTCCATCCGGGTCCATTCCGTGTCCGCCGCCATGGATCCACCATCTATCGTCCGCCTGGATCCGCCATCCATCACCGTCCGGATCCATGTCGTTCCGCTGCGTCCGATCGATCCGTCATCCGCGTTACATCCGCCCTCCATCCATGGGTCCGCACGTACTGGATCCTCCGTCTGGATCCACGTATTCCGCATGTCGTCCACCGTCTATCGATCCTGGGATCCATCACCGTCTATCCGCCGTTATCGTCCGTATCTGTCCGGTTATCCGCTGGATCCATCTTTCCGCACCATCCATCCACCGTCTATCACACCACCATCCTCCATCCTCCGCCTGGATCCGCATCACTAAGTTCGTCCGCTCATTCCATAGATCCAACCATCAGATCCACTCCCTTCATCCGCCGCATGGATCCTCCATCCATCCATCATGCAGATCATATCCTCGTATCGAGATCATGCCCGATACGTCCACCCGTCTATCCATCCATACACCGCTATCGTCCTCCTCATACAAATATCTCCACCCATCTACAACTCATAACCACAGATCCCCCATCTATCACTCATACACATAGATCCACCCATCTATCACTCATACACACACATAGATCCACCCATCTATCACTCATACACACAGATCCTAACATCTATCACTCATACACAGAGATCCACCCATCTATCACACATATGCATAGATCATCCACCCGTCTATCACACATACACATACATCCACCCATTTATCACTCATACACAATCATCCACCCATCTATCACACATACACATAGATCCACACATCTGTCACTCATACACATATATCCTCCCATCTATCACTCATACTCATATAAAGATCCACCCATCTATCACTGATACAGATAGATCCACCCATCTATCACACATACACATAGATCCACCCATCTATCACACTTACACATAGATCCACCCATCTATCACACATACACATAGATCCACCCATCTTTATCACACATACACACAGATCCACCCATCTATCACACATACACACAGATCCACCCATCTATTACACATACACATAGATCCACCCATCTATCACACATACACATAGATCCACCCATCTATCACACATACACACAGATCCACCCATCTATCACACATACACACAGATCCACCCATCTATCACACATACACATAGATCCACCCATCTATTACTCATACACACAGATCCACCCATCTATTACTCATACACATAGATCCACCCATCTATCACTCATACAAATAGGTCCATTCATCTATAACTCATACACACAGATCCACCCATCTATCACTCATATACACTCACAGATCCACCCAATCTATCACACATACACATAGATGCACCCATCTATCACTCATACAAATATCTCCACCCATCTATCACTCATACAGATAGATCCACCCATCTATCACACATGCACATAGATCCACCCATCTATCACACATACTCATAGATCCACCCATCTATCACTCATACAAATAGATCCATCCATCTATAACTCATACACACAGATCCACCCATCTATCACTCATATACACTCACAGATCCACCCAATCTATCACTCATACACTGGGATCCACCCATCTATTACTCATACACATAGATCCACCCATCTATCACTCATACACATAGATCCATCCATCTATAACTCATACACACAGATCCACCCATCTATCACTCATATACACTCACAGATCCACCCAATCTATCACACATACACATATATGCACCCATCTGTCACTCATACACATAGATCCACCCATCTATCACACATACACATAGATCCACCCATCTATCACTCATACACACAGATCTGCCCATCTATCACACATACACATATGTCCAACAATTTCTCCTCACCTCCCCTATAGAGAGTTATCACAAACACAAATGTTTCGGCAACTGCAGTCTTTGTTTTTAACAAATTATACATCAAAATATCAGGTTACGATGTAATGCCTTAAGATTCTCGCAGTTAGTCAGAGTGAGTTAATTCTGGAGGTGGAGGACTCTTTTGCAGCAGCAGTAGGTTGCTGTGGTGATGCTAGCAGTTCCTGATATTTGGGAGTGTCCTCAGATGGTGTGACAGTAGTGTATCCTCTTTGTGTACATTTCCTACAGCTCGGCCACAAACACTTGGAGCCTCTGCAGATGGGCCTACCAAAAAGAAAATAGTGCCAGACATCAACTTGCTCAGTGATGAAGATGCCAGTGAAGGGGATGTATTGGAAGATATAGATGACCTTGAAACCCCCCATGACCTTGACACACCATCTGACCTTGAAGAAGGTGACCTGGGTGAACTTGAATGGGAAAGTAAGTGTCACATGCTGTGGGGGTTCAGGTTAGTTCATAGTCAAACACAAAAATGATTATAGCCAAACACAGTGTAGTCACAGTAGTTGACAGACACACCCAGTAGTTGACACACAAACCCACTAGTTGACAAGCATGCCCAGTAGTTGACAGACACACCCAGTAGTTGACAGACATGCCCAGTAGTTGACAGACATGCCCAGTAGTTGACACACACACACACAGTAGTTGACACACTAACCCAGAAGTTGACAGACACACCCAGTATGTTGACAGACACACCCAGTAGCTGACAGACACACCCAGTAGTTGACACACATACCCAGTAGTTGACACACACACACGTAGTAGTTGACACACACGCCCAGTAGTTGACACACACACACACACACATCCAGTAGTTGACACACACCCCCAGTAGTTGACACACACCCCCAGTAGTTGACACACACGCACCCAGTAGTTGACAGACACACCCAGTAGTTGACAGACACATACAGTAGTTGACGGACACACACACCCAGTAGTTGACAGACACACCCAGTAGTTGACGGACACACCCAGTAGTTGACACACTAACCCAGTAGTTGACAGACACACCCAGTATGTTGACAGACACACCCAGTAGTTGACACACACACCCAGTAGTTGACAGACATGCCCAGTAGTTGACACACACACACAGTAGTTGACACACACACGCACAGTAGTTGACACACATACCCAGTAGTTGACAGACACACCCAGTATGTTGACAGACACACCCAGTAGTTGACACACACACCCAGTAGTTGACAGACACACCCAGTAGTTGACAGACACACCCAGTAGTTGACATACACACCCAGTAGTTGACAGTGAAGCCCAGTAGTTGACACACAAACCCAGTAGTTGACACACACACCCAGTAGTTGACACACATCCCCAGTAGTTGACAGACACACTCAGTAGTTGACAGACACACATATTAGTTGACAGACACACACACTAGTTGATAGTTACGCATAGTATTTGACACATTTGACACACACACTAGTTGATAGTCACACACTGTAAGGATGCATCATCAAGCTTTTATTATTAGCATATGGCACAGTAAGTGATTATGATGTTGTGTTAATTTTCAGGGAGAATAAAGAAATTGAAAGGTAAATGATCAGTGTATATTGCATGAGGTCTTAGAAGGCATGTTCTTATATATTGTGGTAGGATTTGTTCATGGTCCTTGGGGTAACAGTAGAGGCCAATTGTTGTGCTGGGGGTGGTGGCTCTTCCAATCTGATTAAACTCAGATCTTAGCTCTCACCACCAATAAACAGAGATCTGAGGACAACACACAGCAGGTCCTGTCAGTAACATTGACCCACCAATGAAATGACAAGTTTGAAACTTGCAACTTCCCCTTCTGACTATGTTGTGATAATGTTTTGACAAAGTTCTCATAACAATTTGAAGACTGAAGAAATGAAAATTCTGGAATGTCTAATAGATGTATTGCAGTACTTCAAACAACTAAGAAAAAATCTTCTGTTTGAAATGTTGCTCACACTGAAGCATGAAACAGAGGTTGATTTTGAAGGAAGGCGTCTTATAGCTTATGACTGTTGCTGGAAGTAGCTGTGGTGACCTTTTTCAGGTGGAATGATTAGAAAAATACATTCCGTCTGTCACTCTTCCAGTCGGGTATGGATTTGGCTGATTGTGGGATCACAGTCGTGCGGACCTGACCTATATTGTATGTCAGATATGTGTTAAGTCGTAGCAAGAACTAAGTTCTGATTTATTTGAGAAAGTGGCTGATATAGCCAAGGGTGTTCTCTGTGTATGGCAAGTCGTGTGGAACTAGTTGTCATCCTACAACATTTGGTGGGTTTAGAGGAAGAGACGTTGTTTGTACTAGTGTTAGCAGTTATGCACTATTAACACTTGTCATATTCCAACATGTATGTGAGTGAGTGAGTGAGTTTAGTTTTACGCCGCACTCAGCAATATTCCAGCTTTATGGCGGCGGTCTGTAAATATTCGAGTCTGGACCAGACAATCCAGTGATCAACAGCATGAGCATTGATCCCGTTAGTCGCCTCTTACGACAAGCATAGTCGCCTTTTCTGGCAAGCATGGGTTGCTGAAGACCTATTCTACCCCGGATCTTCACGGGTCACATGTATATGAACATATATGTACATGTGTATGTGTCCATGTAGAGTGTATGGTGCTGTTGTATTGCTTGATGATTTAGTTCATTGTAGCACCAGCCTCACTTGGCAGTGTGGGGACCTTTGTCCATGTAGAGTGTATGGTGCTGTTGTATTGCTTGATGATTTAGTTCATTGTAGCAATGGCCTCTCTAGGCAGTGTGGGGACCTTTGTCCATGTAGAACGTATGGCGTTGTTGTATTGCTTGATGATTTAGTTCATTGTAGCAACGGCCTCTCTAGGCAGTGTGGGGACCTTTGTCCATGTAGAACGTATGGTGTTGTATCGCTTGATGATTTAGTTCATTGTAGCAACAGCCTCTCTAGGCAGTGTAGGGACCTTTGTGCATGTAGAGTGTATGGCGTTGTTGTATTGCTTGATGATTTAGTTCATTGTAGCAATGGCCTCTCTAGGCAGTGTGTGGATCTTTGTCCATGTAGAGTGAATGGTGTTGTATTGCTTGATGATTTAGTTCATTGTAGCAACAGCCTCACTTGGCAGTGTGGGGACCTTTGTCCATGTAGAGTGTATGGTGCTGTTGTATTGCTTGATGATTTAGTTCATTGTAGCAATGGCCTCTCTAGGCAGTGTGGGGACCTTTGTCCATGTAGAACGTATGGCGTTGTTGTATTGCTTGATGATTAAGTTCATTGTAGCAACGGCCTCTCTAGGCAGTGTGGGGACCTTTGTCCATGTAGAACGTATGGTGTTGTATCGCTTGATGATTTAGTTCATTGTAGCAACAGCCTCTCTAGGCAGTGTGGGGACCTTTGTGCATGTAGAGTGTATATGGTGTTGTTGTATTGCTTGATGATTTAGTTCATTGTAGCAATGGCCTCTCTAGGCAGTGTGTGGACCTTTGTCCATGTAGAGTGTATGGTGTTGTATTGCTTGATGATTTAGTTCATTGTAGCAACAGCCTAACTTGGCAGTGTGGGGACCTTTGTCCATGTAGAGTGTATGGTGCTGTTGTATTGCTTGATGATTTAGTTCATTGTAGCAATGGCCTCTCTAGGCAGTGTGGGGACCTTTGTCCATGTAGAACGTATGGTGTTGTATTGCTTGATGATTTAGTTCATTGTAGCAACAGCCTCACTGGGCAGTGTGTCGACCTTTGTCCATGTAGAGTGTATGTTGTTGAATTGCTTGATGATTTAGTTTGAGATTATTCATACTGTGAATGAATATTAGGTGAGATATATATTGTTCAATATAGGAATGTTTGGTTTTTCTGACATAGCTAGATACATCAAACAAGCCATGACATCAAACAAAAGGTCATCAAATTTGCAGTACCTAACTTTACTTTGTGAAGATATAATTTTCTGTCATCATTTGATGTTTTAGCTGAAAATTGATTTTCAGCATTAATGGCAACCAATATTTCACATTGTGTTACAAAATTGCAAACATGATATATCGAGGTGTTATTGAGACGGTCTGCAGTAACTTGTGTCAAGTTGTGTCAAGTTGATTTATTCGGGTTACAAGAAAAACATACAAAATTTGCTGGTTTTTTTTGTACATATAAAAAAATATTGTGCAACGCTTAGCACTGTTTTTTTTTCAAGCCGGTTAATTCTTACAGTTAACTGAGCACCATCATGTATGAAATTTAAGATTTAGTATTCTACGATGCTGAGGTTTTATATGGTCAGTGATACATCTGGTGCCCCAGGACTGCTATTCTCACTTTTAAGATCAGACAAAAGTGTGCCTCGATCATAGCTCTAGAGGGTTATTACAGAGATGTCGCCATACACTCGTGTGTGTTGGTATGTGTGTGTCTGCTTGTACAAGCCAAGAACCCCATGTTTCACTGTGCTAGCCTACTGCTGCAGTGTAACATGGATGTGCTAGACACACAGGGTACTGAGTCCAAGCTGAATACTTCTTGTTTTATCGTGCAGTGCAGCAGGCAGGGCGGTTCTGTCTCTAGGTACTCAGGGACACTTCCAGCTTCAATAGCTAGCACAATGTCACAGTATGATGCATTCAGTATGTTTGCTACGAGTGCATGCACTTTTTCTCAATATCTCACCTGTTGACAAGTTTCCCATTTCTTTGTGAGTGGTAATGCTGGTGGTGGGGAATGAACTCATTACTGAACAGACGCTTCCTTTCTTTGACTCCTTAGGTCTTAGATTACATTGTTAATTTACTTTCATATTTCATTGATTGTCAGCAATTTATTTCTATTTTTTGCTTACCAGCAACATGGTTCTCTCAGATTTGTTATGTTTGTTTCAATGTGATGCCATGTTTAACAATATTCTAGAAAAGGAGAGGCTAGGTATAGAAAAACCCATTCCCTGTGTGAATAGAAGCGTGAACATCTGGTAAAGTCTGACAGTAGGGGAGAAGAACTGGCCCAGTATAAGAAACAGGTGGCAGTCAATCCAGGGGTAGGGAACTGACGAAGACCTTCACCTCCCCAGGGCCAGGGAGATGTTTCAGCTAGTTATACTTGTTATACTTGCATATTATATTGGTGTACTGACAAGCATTATTAATACATCATCATACGAGTAATCAGACTGAAAAATGCTGCTCCATGCATACCGACATGTACCGGTAGGCAAAAGGAAATACAGAACAAAAGGGAGCATCTCAAAAGAATATTGTTAATGTATGACATTCTGTTGCACAGATGACACACCAGTTCTCTCCCCGGATGACATTGACCCCATCCCAGAATATACAGAACAAGAGGAGAAGCATGATGCCCGGCACTGGAAGACAGTGACCGTGGGGGACAAACAGTACAAGATTGACCTGAAGGTCATTGAGCCCTACAAGAAGGTCCTGTCACATGGAGGTAGGTACAACCACTGACTGTTCTCTGGCTACAAGAAGGTCCTGTCACATGGAGGTAGGTACAACCACTGACTGTTCTCTGGCTGCAAGAAGGTCCTGTCACATGGAGGTAGGTACAACCACTGACTGTTCTCTGGCTGCAAGAAGGTCCTGTCACATGGAGGTAGGTACAACCACTGACTGTTCTCTGGCTGTAAGAAGGTCCTGTCACATGGAGGTAGGTACAACCACTGACTGTTCTCTGGCTGCAAGAAGGTCCTGTCACATGGAGGTAGGTACAACCACTGACTGTTTTCTGGCTGTAAGAAGGTCCTGTCACATGGAGGTAGGTACAACCACTGACTGTTTTCTGGCTGTAAGAAGGTCCTGTCACATGGAGGTAGGTACAACCACTGACTGTTCTCTGGCTGCAAGAAGGTCCTGTCACATGGAGGTAGGTACAACCACTGACTGTTCTCTGGCTGCAAGAAGGTCCTGTCACATGGAGGTAGGTACAACCACTGACTGTTCTCTGGCTGCAAGAAGGTCCTGTCACATGGAGGTAGGTACAACCACTGACTGTTCTCTGGCTGCCACACAGTACCTGGCACCTGCTACATAAGGTTTAATGCAGGTGAAAAAGCCAGAAAAGGCTACCACTATTCCCTGTACCATGGGCACCTATACAACTGAAAAGAAAGAAATGGCTATTAATACCATACACAACAAAATGAAACTGAGTTTTAAGGTGGGGGTTTTCAATATTTGTTACTTTAGTTATTCTTTGGTTTCTGCCTTGATGTTTTCACACAAAAAAACTGTAATGTGCAAAATATTATGGACTGTCCTGTAAACTTTTGGTATAATGAAAGGTGCAGTATATGGTCTTGCAGTTGTCCATGTGGGGCTTTATTGCTTATTTGCAAATATGGTAAGTGGTATTCAGCCAAATTACTAATTATCAATGATACTGAACTCTTTCATGACAATGTGAGCAGCTATAAGATTTTTTTCATACAATGGATAGCGTTCTCAGCAGGATAAAGCCAACAGATATTTTCAGCATCCGTTGGTGTCATTTATGGATATCGATGCTACTTTCACAGTGTAAACAAACATGACATCACGCCCATCAATCGGCGATTGAGTCCGGATTGACGGTCATGGCTACGGTACTGTCAGTGCTTTGATCTAAGAAAATTCTTGTCAGGTAATGATAGATGAAGATTGAAATTTTTTGGCTTACGAAGCTACCAACAAGAGTTCCCTGACTGACTGTCAGTGTTAGCGAGCATACAGCACAAGAATCCAGGTACAGAATGTCACACGAACGTTGAAGTGTATTTGTTGTTCAAATGGTTAATTGAAGGTTTCTGAAGTTCCACACTAATTTGTTATTATTTTTCAAACGTAAGCTAGATTTGTTGACAGTAATACATGCTTTAACATAAAAACTTACTGGGAACTAGATGACCTAACGCAGTCAATTGAGTGATTAGTAAAAATTGTGTCACCGAGCGTAAGATGTAGTGTATTACTAAGCACATATTTGTGACGTCATATATATCCATGCACATTTCTTGATGTTTAGTTTCATGATTTGTGGCATTTGAAATCGCATTTTGTTACAATTATAAAGTAAGAATGACATTGTATGATAGATAGGTTATCACATTCGTGTGTTTTGGGATGGTTAATATCCTGCATTAGGAATAAACACTATGTATGTAGCTCACCAAGGCTTGCTAAATACAATGTTTATTCCTAATACAGGATTTTAACCATCCCAAAACACACTCGCATGATAACCTATGTTCATCTGGCAAACTTTCAAAAAGACATTATCAGAACTTAAAAGAGATTTCATGTACACACGAAACAGATAATTTTACCTACCAGATGTGATCAGAGGTTATGAGGCTACACTGCATGCCAACAGTGAGCAGAGGCAGGCCCTTCACAGCTGTGTGTGTTGCCAAGAGTGTTACATATGTTCATGTACTTGCAGGTTACTACGGTGATGGTCTGAATGCAATAATCCTGTTTTCTGGATGTTACCTCCCTGATCGCCGCCGCAAGGATTACAACTATGTCATGGATAACCTCTTCTAGTGAGTTCAGGTTCATGTTTTTACAAAACACAAAACACATAGCATAAGATCCTCCACACAGTATATACACTAATGCTGATATCCCCATTTCCCTCTGTCACGCTGGAGACCAGGGTACGATTCCGCACATGGGTATAATGTGTGAAGCCCATTTCTGATATATTGCTGGAATATTGCTAAATGCGGCCTAAAACCATACTCACTCACTCATCATTTCCAGAATCCTGTATTCACACTATAACTAGATCTACAGATTTTCACTGGCAACTGTACCTATGTTTACACATAGTTGCCCACAACTCTCACATATGTGCAATTTGAGTAAACTATCACTTCTCTAGCACTGGTAGTGTTAGCAGACTCTTGTCTAATAATGTTTTGTTATCATTCTGGTTACAATGACTTCGTAACTCAACTGTTTTGGAAGTGTTTTCTTTAATAGAATTATTTGGTTTGTTGTTGAAGTAAGTATTAGCTGAGTTGTGTGTTGCAAGACAGGGATGGCGTAATTGTTACCCCAGTTGTTATGTAAGACAGTTGGTTGTCATGGTTGACACTCTCTCTGCTTGGATGAGTTGCTGGGATGTGAGTAGATTCTCAAAGTCAACACTTCTCAAGGTGGTACAGGCCAAGATGGTACAGCCAAACAGGAAAAAGGCTGATGAGGCACTATATGTTATTATAATTCTCCACTCTCTGTCCCCTACCCTCTGTTGAGCGACCTTGGTTTCTTTTGTTTGGAGAACTGTTACCAGCCTGAGGCTACCCCAGCCATGAGTCTGCTGGAACAACTAACTTCTATGTACAAAGGCTTGTAGACAATCTGATATGTCATTCCCGAGAGTTTGGACTTTGACCAAAAATACTATGTATGTATACAGATAGTGGACACTATAAATCTACCAGCACAAGCCACCAGGGAGCCAGTACCCAAGATGAAGGCCTTCAGAAACATTCTTGCCCCTCTAAGTTCCAAGGTTTCTCAACAGCCTTTCAGGATATTCCACTGAAATGTCTGTTGCCCTAGGTATTTAGGCTGAACACTGCTTTACCTCTGATAGAAACATCCTTGGCGGTCACATGGACAGAAGTACCCAGTCGCTGTCCAGTTTTGCTGACAGCAGCTTGTTACATCCTAGGTGGCTTGATAAGATTTCCGTTATAGACGGCACAATGACAACTTTTACCTGTGTAGTGTGTAGCCTTGTTTTTCCCCCTGTTTATTCAAATCAGGTTAGTTGTATATTAGAACTTACTCTCAGTGATGGCCAGCATTTGTGCATTGACATGTACTGATTATGGAAGGACACCTATAGTACAACAACTCTACAGTAAACATGCCAAGTATTTCTCTACTATAGTGAGTCACTAAGTTTCACCTACTGTGTGGTACTACAAACTTCATGGCCCCATCCTTGCTGCATGTTGTATTCATATATAATTCTGGCAAGTTTGGCAAGCAGGAGAGCACTGATAAATCTGTGACCCACAATCACAAAGGTTGCATGACATAGTTATTTTGCAAACCAACAGCAAACAAAAAGGAGGTATATTTCTTGTATTCACATTGTCAGCCAGCCGATACATGATGAACTACATAGCCTTGTTGCTGATGTTACTCATTATCAAGACTCAAAACAAGAAAGTTCACTTGCCTGCTTGCGTAACACTGAGTAACACTTGCCTTCTGTTGTATGATGTATACTGCTCCAGCCTTCCTTAAAAACACCACCATCACATGCTCAATAGTTTACAAACGTTCTAGATACAGTTAAGACCTTCTTATCCACTTGTGATCATTTCCTGGGCAGATGTTCAGATATGTCATAGTGATAACCAGAATAACATGCTAATGACACAATTAAAGAACCAGTGATGAATAAGGGACTGGTAAATACCAGTTACACTTTTCCTTTCTCCACATACATAGCTTGTAGTGTTGTGTCAGCAGTAGGACTTACAGGTAGGATGATCCTGTGATATGTGTTTTGTTTGTATTGAATGTTGCAGTTATGTGGTGCACACTCTCGAGCAGCTTGTTGCGGAGGACTATATGATAGTGTACTTCCACGGAGCCACGCCACGCAGGCAGATGCCCAGCCTCTCATGGCTCAAGAAATGTTACCAGATGATAGACAGGAGGTAGTGTTGTCTACGATCTTGTCCAGCTAGTTGCATGTAGGGTAACATATGTTACCTCAGATAAGCCGATCTCACAGATAAGCCAAGATGCTAACTTGACCCATAAAATCAGTATCGAAATGGTATGTCCATTAACTACTGTTTATAAGCTGAACCACCAACCTTCGTTCCTCTTCTCGTCGTGATCAGTCATTATAAATAGGGGATCAAGTAAATCTTATTATTATACTATCTCCTAATAAAACATGTTCTTTGCGTATCTGGGCATATGTTTGGAATCTAGTTTATTAATTTTATACACAATGTCATTCAAGAATGTTTGTTATCTGCGGTGGAATCGTGTGTCACTCTGATACTTAGAACTTCGGTCCGCATTATTCACGGAAATCACTATCAAATTCCATGTACTCATGATCCGAAATGAAGTGTAACTGACAGAAAATGGATGTACAGATATACATTCTGTTTCGCTAAAGTCATATTTGTTGTCGCTAGACTATCACATGTCAACAAACTGTTTTTGCGGTGGAAAAAGCGAAATCGCGCGAAATTACATCATTGACAAGTCAAATTGTTCCATGCATAAAAATTCTCCGGCACTACACCAAAGTGCTGTCGCATAACCTTAGTTATGGTTCTAAAAAGTTAACATTTAAAGAGCAAAACCTGCAATTAAAATGACGCAATGCTAGGATATATTTCTCTTTGTGAAATAATAGTTTCAGATAGTATATTTTCCCGATCACTGCATCAGAATTTAGATTGTTATATATTATTGGGTATGTTTTAACTAAATCACCAGTAGATCATGGGGAAACATTTGCACAGCTGATTGCTATTTCCCACTCTGTATACGAGACAAATACACACAGTAATCTTAATCCCTGCTTTAATGCCAAGCAAAAGATTTAAGACTGAAAAGGTAAATAGTCTTGCCTAGTGATGTTTAAATGCAAATTTGACGTCTTCACGATGTCATTTTCTTACCAGCACTGGCACCAGAAAAAAGTTTGACTAAAATGTAACATGTAGATAGCCAACCCCTTCTACATATTGCTAGTTTTGGTCCTCAAAATTCAGCTTATCTACGGTCATATACAGTAACTTACCCAACTCCCTCGCAAACACAGACGTTTGTCTCTACCATTCGCAAACAATCTCACTCCATAGTCTCTACCAAGATCTTTCCCCTTCACTCACAGACCCACACCTGGATCTGCACCATTCACTCAGAGAGAAGTTAGATGGCTCTACCTTCACCGACAGTTCTTTGTATTCTGTCTTTGTCCACAGGTTAAGGAAGAACCTCAAGGCCTTGCTTCTAGTTCATCCAACACTGTGGTTGAAAACAGTTGTCATGATGACCAGACCTTTTATCAGGTATGACCAATAAGACATATTCACTGCATGTTTCTTGAGGGGTCGGGCGACATATTGTTTTTGGTTGAGTTGATGTTGGCGTCGGCGTTGGCGTCAGAGTTGAACTTGGCGTCGGTGTTCCCATTGTTTCTAAAACTACTTGAACAATCTTCACCAAATTTGATATGCTGCCCCTCCATATCATGTAGATGTGCCTTTTGGAGGTTTGAGGGTTTTTTTTTCAATTTTATTTTTTTCTGTTTTCATGGCAACAATTTGGATTTTGTCTTTTTGAAGGGTAAAGTTCGTTTCGGTAGCATAATTCTGAAACTAAAAGATCCATCTTCACCAAATTTGCTATACTGCCTCTCCTTATCATGTAGCTTTCTGGGGGTTTGAACTTTCCTTTCAATTGAATTTCTTCTGTTTCAATGGCAACAAATTTGAACTTACTCTTTTTGAAAGGTAGGGTTTGTGTTCGGAGCATAACTCTAAAACCACTTCACCCATCTTCACCAAATTTTGTATACTTAAGACTTTACAAACAAAATAACATACTATCAATAATATGTATTTTCATACTTAGAGATTTTGAAATTGAAGGAATCAAATGAATTGTTTGAGGTCTCAACATTGAATTGGGGGAAGGGGGAGACATATGTTTTTACGAGTAAAAAAACTTTCTAGTTATGTATGTAGTTTTAGTGTATGTAGTAATTAAGTGTACCTGTCAGTCATGTCCAGAAAAGATGGACATTTGTTTTTACTATTTCATGAATGTTTTGAGGTCTTGTGGTATGCTGTGTTATAGATATACTGACCCATAATGTATTGAGGTCTCGCAGGTATACTGACCCATAATGTTTTGAGGTCTTGCATGTATTTTGTGTTATAGATATACTGAGCCGTAATGTATTGAGGTCTCGCAGGTATACTATGTTATAGATATACTGACCCACAATAAAAACGCATAACTGAGTTTGATGTGGAATATAATGACAAAAAACAAAGGTTTGTATGCAAAATCGTTTTCAGTTTATTTCATAGGTAATAAGCAATGTTTATGATTTTGAAAAGTTGGATATCAAAAAACGTGAGTGGTACAGATAAGGTCAAACAAGGTCATACCTTGAAACTGTCAGTATATTGAGGTTTAACCTTATCTGCCAGTGGTAAAAAATGTGATGACTGAAAAATAAAATATAAATACATAGATTCACAACTTTACCTTATAATCTTAATCAATTTATTATTATATTGTTATGCATTTGGAAACTTTAAAAAAAGTACACAATCTGTTTATAGTGACTTTATAACATGACTGTAATATCTAGATATTTTATGGATTGCCAACACGAATCATGTTGCACACACTCCCTATGTGCGACCTAGTGTATGTTGTCTGTTTCATTACACTTCACGACCGCCTCCGTGGTGTAGTGGTTAGAGCGTCCGCCCGGAGAGCGGAAGGTCGCGGGTTCGATCCAAAAGATGTTAAAATATGGTACTTGTTGGTCCCTGTCTGGCGCTCGGCATTAATGGGTACAATAAGGACTGGTCGGCTCGGAGTCAGTATAATGTGTCTGAGTGGGGTATTCATGCTTCACTGCGGCATGGTATCTCAGTGGGCTAGCACTATAAAAAACAGCTTCATTCTGGGCTAGTACAAGCAGCCGCACATACACATACACACGCATGCACATCGTCATATGAGCAAAATATTCTCAAGCACGACGTAAAACCCAATTTCACCTAACCTCACCTCATTACACTTCACAGTGAAAGAATGATGCTGTTGAATGCTACAACAAATGAATAAGAGCAAAATACAAATATAAAACAGACTAAAGTTATTGCAATAGTATCAGGCCATGACCTTGTTCAAGGAATGTATCCATCAACATCCACATAAAGGAACGACATGCCATTCATCTGCAGCTGACAAAGAAACCTGTTCCATGTCAGCAGTCTAATAGGAGAAAAAGTTATATAACTAGTGATAGTTTCTCAACTAGTCACGTGACTGTTTTCATATAGGTGTATAGTCTCATTGGTTACCCAAGATAGCACACCTGACATCTAATTGCATAATGTCCATCATTCTTTGAAAAAGTAATTTAGTTAGCCAAGAATAAGTAACCAATCACTATATTGGCAGTTAATCCTTTGAAGGAAGGACGTTGGTTTTACTCACTTTACAACAGAATGTGGGTGTATTCAGTATACTTTAGTAAACCTACAAACATAAACACTACCTTTTGACACATCCGCTGTGCAAGATAAAAGTAATTAATCCATAAGTGTGTTATCGGTTAATCCTTTGATCGATGTTGTTTTTTTTAACTCACCTGATAATTCCACTTGCTGCACTTACATGCGCATATTACATAACATGTAATACATTTGCCACGTCAGACCTCAATACATAATGCTGAATATTTACTCCAGACACAAGAAATGCCAAATGAGAACCTTTGTAGGGTAATCTGAGTGGTGTTACCTCTAATTATACCTGTTATAAATTCATTGACAGACCATCAAGTGAATGCCAAATAAAAAGGTGTAGGTTTATACGACCAAACATGGGTTACAGCAAGGGAGTAAGAATCGCTGTATTGCATGCAATTTTAATTGCCTAAAAAACTTAAGGATCGACAGTGTTTTGAGAATACGAACGGAACTTCATTGTTGCATAAGAAATACATATAAGCATTTGCTGAGTAGTACTAAAGTTAAAAACTGTAATTTTTCCTTATCCTGACTCATGCTTAATTGCTTGTCTTCTTCCTCTTGCGAACATAGTGGAACACTTGTATCTCCTTATTGAAGCTCCCTTCAATAAAGCATACATAAAATCACTAATCACTACTCACCAAGAGTTATCCCTTCTTCCTGTTTTGGCGGGAACTGGTGCCACCGTTCCCCCACGTGCTTCACTCTCTCCTTCTTCGCCCTGTGAGCAGGTTGTGAGAGCGCCTGTGTCTCCTTACGGCACTATATCCTTTTATTACTTAGTCAGTTACCTCTATTAGTCTATTATAGAGGTTTAGCTGGTATCCTTCATCAATATGATTTGATATTTAATTGTATTTAGCACTGTTTATTCATGGTGTAGTCCGTGTTTGTTCAGTAGTTTACGTTCATGAAAATCTGTTCCAAATGTAAGTTACATTTCTCTGCTGCTGACCCGCACCTAATATGCCCTAGCTGCACGGTACCATGTTCTTTCAGCGCACGCTGCAATTATTGCAAGTGTTTATCTACTTGTGCATTTAATAAATACCTTCTTTGCGTCCTGAGACGTGCCGCAGATAGGTCGAGAAGGGTTGATCCAGTCATGGATAATTCAGCTGAGTCCCTCACCAGTCAACTGCTGTCTGACGACCCCCTACCGTCTGGTGTTCCGCTGGGGTTTCCCTCGGAGGAGAGGCGTGGGACGAAGTCCGCCATCTCCAAGAAGAGACCTGCTTCTCCAGACATCCTGTCGTCGCAGTCTAAGACTCGGAGGTCGTCATCCACCCAGCGCAGACTCCGCACCCCCCAGGGCAGCGTCCACCTCCAAGGGGAAGTCAGCGCAGACAACCAGAACTTTCTCGGCCGAGATTGTTCCCTTGACAGAACAGGGTCTGTATGATGATCAACCGATCATCATCCCACAGGTTCCTTGCAAGAAACGACCGGTCTCAGCTACGGTGACTTCAGGGCAGATCTCTTCTCAACCCGAGGTATCAACGCTGACAACAGATGACCGTCCAGTGGGCCCCGTCGCCATCACCGCAGAAAGGGCAGCACCAGTACCACCGCAGACCTGCAACCCGGGCGACTTTATGCAGCAGTTCTCCCAGCAGATCATGGAGATGATCGAGCAACGTTACGGCCTGGAAAAGAAGTCACAGCCAGCCCAGGTCCCGAGCCTTCGCAAAGGCTCCAACGCAGACGTCATCTCTGAGGGGCCTGCCATCAACGTGACTTCTGCCAGCAGAACTGCACTCCCGGACCAGCCTGCGCGAAGGTCGACTCAACCATCCCCTGTGGAGGACTCGGACGATCAGCATCCGCGAAGGCGTTCGCGAAGGCCATCACGATCTTCACCTGCTTTGGACTCGGACGAGCAATGTTCGCGAAGGAGGAATCGCTCATCCCCCGGACTCTGGATCGGACAACCAGCCTCGCGAACGCAGTCGCCAATCCCCAGATGCGGACTCAGATGTTCAGCGTTCGCGAAGGCCTTCGCGAAGGACTTCAGCTACAGTATCCAAGACATCTTCATCCCGCAGATCGTCAAGGGATTCACCAGGACCTTCGCGAACCCACAGTCGCTCATCTCCGCGCAGGTCCCCGCGCAGGTCACCCTACAGGCACAGGTCGCTGGGCCGCTCACCACGTCGATCTTCACGCCGATCTCCACGCAGATCCCCACGCAGGTCTCCACGAAGGTCACCACGACGTTCGCCCCACAAGTCTCTGAGCAGGTCTCCACGACGTTCGCCCCACAAGTCTCCGAGCAGGTCTCCGCGCAGGTCTCCACGTAGATCTCCACCCAGGTCACCACAGTCACGTAGGACTCCACCTCGTTCACCATCGGAGGAATATCAACGTCCCTTACTCAGCACTCCTGTCACTGAGGATGATGGCGGCATCATCTTTTCGGACTCTGAAATACGTTACTGGATGGCTAATGGATTGGACTTGGCTTCACCATCTAAAGACGATAATCCGGCTCACACCTATCTTATGAGAGAGGATGATGTCGACACGCTCACTCTGCCCCCGACTGATCCCATCGCAGCGGTTCCACAGAACCTGGACGTAGCCTTCCAGTAAGCCACGAAAGCCCAGGCGCCGCACCTACCACAGTTCAACGCCAGGAAGTTCTCCTCTCATAACATGGATCCTTTCCTTAAAGCTCAGGACATAGACGAGAACTTCAAGGTCATCAGCGATGCCAAGGCCAAGTCGTACAAGATTGAGGACAGGAAGCTGGCTCAAGTGGAAACTATGACCAGACGGATGTTCTTCGGCCTCAACAGATCTCAGGCGGTCAACGAAACGCTCATCGCCAAGTTTCGAGACTCCACTGCGGAAGAAGATAGAATGATTTATTCGGCCCTCCTTATGCAGAAGAAGGACCAACAGTTCATGACAGACCACCTTTCATCCATCTCCGCAGCGCTGACTCTGGCTCGTCGACAAGGTCTCCTCGCCTCCTGCAGTTGGAGTGAACAGTTTACTAAGTCACTCTACACAGCCCCGTCTTCGCTGGAGAAGTTGCTAAGGAAGTTACCAAAGATTCAAGAGAGGTCCTAATGATCAAGTCCATAGACACTCTGGCCAGCGTCATCAGGCAGACATCCCAGCGTTACTCGGGAAGATCCAAGTTTCCTGGAATACAGAGGGCAAGAAAGTGGGTAGCTCCAGAGGCGGGAAAGACTCTTTTCGCCGCCCTACCGGCAACTACAGAGCAAGATCCGGACAAGGCAGGGCACCCAGAGGCTCCAGGGATTATTGACGATGAAAGACGGGTTCGGAACGACTGGAGTCTTCCACCCCCAGCCGTTCCTGTACAACCTTCCCAAGTGGGTGGACGTCTACAACTACACTGGCAAAACTGGGGAATACTACAAGATCCATACGTATCCAACATCCTAAGACACGGATATTGAATTCAACTACGGGCCGCTCCACCGCTTACAGTCTACCCTCACAAGTTCAACTTCAAGACACATCAGATAGAGAAGTTACGAGAGGCCGTCTCATCTCTTCTAACCAAGCGGGCCCTAGAAATCGTGGATCCAGTCAACATCACACCAGGTTTCTACTCCCCAGTTTTCCTGGTTCCAAAGAAAACCTTCAAAGAAAAGTTCCGACTCATCTACAATATGAGCACGGTCAACAGGGATTATCTACGCAGACCTCCCACGTCCCGCATGATACATCTACCTCAACTAATCCACCTCGTCCGTCCGATGGACTACCTGGCCAGCATAGATCTACAGGATACCTACCTGCATATCCCTATCCATCCCGACTCGAGAAAGTACCTCAGATTTACACTGGACGGGCTACATTACCAATGGAAGGTCCTGCCATTTGGAATATCATCGGCCCCCTGGTTGTTTACAAGAGTGACGAAACCCATAGTCACATATCTACATCATCGAGGGCTACGCAGTGCATTCTACCTCGACGACGGGATTCAAGTAGATCAAGATCCAGAGCGTCTCAGACTACAGTTGAATTTCACCATCAATCTACTCACTCAGCTAGGATGGTTAGTGAATCTACTCAAGTCGGACCTCGAACCTACACAGGACCTGCAGTTTCTAGGCATCAGATTTCTCACAACGCAGAACCGTATCGTCGTGCCAGAGGACCGATGGCTCAAGATTCAACAGACAATCCCTCAAGCCTTACTCTCTCAGTGGCCACTACGACAGTGGCAGTGTCTGTTGGGTCTCCTCACGTCCGCACAAGACATGACAGCCAGAGGCAGACTACAGCTACGCCCGTTACAGGTCCTCATCAACGCTCATCTCGACGACCTAGAACCCTTCGGTCTCCCGAATTACCTCAGAGCTCATCTGCTATGGTGGACCCGGAGGTTGAATGTTTGCGAAGGCATCTTTTTAGCAGAGCCGGAGTTCAAGACTCATCTATACGTGGACGCGTCACTCCAAGGTTGGGGAGCACATCTCGTCAACAATGTGGCAGCCGGGATATGGAACCAGGAAGAGAGAAGTCTGCATATCAACATGCTGGAGATGAAAGCAGTCATCAACGCCATACTCCATTGGAGCACCTTTATACAGAATGCGCATCTCATGGTACACACAGACAACTCTACAGTGGCGTTTTACATAAACAAGCAAGGCTCAACAAGATCATTGAACCTACTAGATCTCTGCTTTCAACTGTTCGACCTCATCGACGATCTGAACATCCATGTAAGAGCATGTCACATTCCAGGAGCCCAGAATGTCTTAGCAGACGCACTCTCCCGTCCAACTCAACCATCGCCGACGGAATGGATGCTCCATCCAGAGATCACACAGATCATCAAGGAAATAGGAGCTTCGTTGATAGACCTCTTCGCCACACGCTTCAACAATCAGCTAACAACATTCATTGTGTTACAGAAAATCAGCCAGACAAGGAACCTCCAACTGATTTTGGTCGCGCCCTACTGGCCAGCGAGAATGTGGTTCCCCATTCTCATACAAGAACTCGGACCACCAATACTGCAACTACCAGAGCGGTCGAATCTACTAGTACATCCTCACACAAAGCAGGCGCATGGCAACCCAGGGGCATTCCAACTACACGTGTGGACTGTATCAAGGCATGTTTAAACAAGAGAGGGTACTCCGCCAGAGCGGCGAAAGCAGTCACGCTTGCTTTACGCAATTCTACACGCAACTTGTACGACGACAAGTGGCGCAGCTTTGAGACCTACGCTGCTAGAAATGGATTTTCAGCTAGAAAAGCAACACATCCTCAAGTGGCGGACTATCTTTGTCACCTACGGCAAACAAAGCGACTAAAAGGGCCTACACTCTCAACGTACCTAGCAGCATTGAGCTCAGTTATTACTATGAGGACGGGTGCCAAGCTAACGAAAGTACCAGAGTTACTGGCCTTGTTACGCTCTTATAAATTGGAGGACCAAAAACAGAGATTTAAAGCTCCGGCATGGGACCTCAACATCGTTATCAGACATCTCACAAGTGACGTCTACGAACCATTAGAGACGGCATCCTTCGAATTCTTGACACAGAAAACGCTGTTCCTGCTAGCCCTAGCAACAGCAGCCAGGATGTCGGAAATTCATGCTCAAGATTACGAGAGAACGCACTTTGATGAAAATCAAAACACAGTGCATATGGGACTGCGATGGGATTTCCTCGCTAAGAATCAACTGCCAGGTCAACCGGACAGACAATTCCACGTCCCCGCCTTATCCTCCATACTCGGACCACATGATACGATTGACTTATCCTTGTGCCCAGTGAGAGCATTGAAAGTTTATCTACATCGATCCAGAATAAGGAGACGCAAGTTTAAACGACTTTTCGTCCCGCTATCAACAGTGACACAGACGGAAGTCTCCCGCACTACGATATCAATCTGGATAAGAACTGTCATACTACGGGCCTACAAAGCAGCAGGACTCGATCCTCCAAGAGCCTCCAACCCACACAAAATTAGAGCGCTGGCGTCAACACTCGCTCTACATGGGAATTGCTCGCTTACCACGATCATGGAGGGCTGCTTCTGGAAATCAGACACGGTGTTTGCAAACCACTACTTGAGAGATATTGCCACCGAGGACGTCTCAGGTATTCACCATTTCGGCCCACTGGTTGTTGCACAACAGTTGACAGTTCCTCACAGAAGACATGACTTATCAAGCCTACACTCAGCGGAGTTCTGCTTCAGTCTCAATGCACGTCTCAAGACTAGCATAAGTGATAAACCCAGTACTTGTAAGTTTACTCGTACAGCAAGGGTCGCTTCTCCACATGGAGTCGCTAAATCCACATTGAAATGTTAACAGAAAAAGTAGGACCAAAAGTTAACAATTGTGGTCCCCCCATCAAAAGGCAGCTGAAAGAACACGATTGCTAACAGCAGCAGAGTTTAGCAGTACATACAGTGCCATTATGAAGTTCCCGTAGGGGGGTATATATTGACGTAAAATTCACTAAATAAATCCTAAAGTGCTTTTCCCACCACCTATTCCGTCGGATTCTACAAGCAATTAAGGATGAGTCAGGATAAGGAAAAATATGTAATTTTCTGAATAAAATTGATATTTTATACTTATCCTGACTCATGAGGTAAGCCCTCCCAACCTCCCCACTAGACACTTTGGATTTCCCTGCAAATTCAAGTGTCGGGCTCATATTCAGGAGAAAGTGAAGCATGTGGGGGAACGGTGGCGCCAGTTCCCGCCAAAACAGGAAGAAGGGATAACTCTTGGTGAGTAGTGATTAGTGATTTTACGTACGCTTTATTGAAGGGAGCTTCAATAAGGAGATACAAGTGTTCCACTATGTTCGCAAGAGGAAGAAGACAAGCAATTAAGCATGAGTCAGGATAAGTATAAATTATCAATTTTATTCAGAAAATTACATTCTATTAACCTAAGTAAACTTTCAGATTTTTCTAGCAATGGCAAAGTGGGGTTGTTTAATTTATGGATTCAAATAAATTAAATGTCAATTTTTAATATCATAGGCCTGTAATATACATCACATTTTTACATGACATGATTAAATATCGAGGTAAGAAACACAGAAATAGGATCAAATTGGATCAGTCATTATATCATCCACACATAAGAAAATCCGAAAAAGCCTACACTGCTGGGATACTTTATTACAATCAGACAAGAACAACCAGGGATATTTTCAAATAACAGCATGTGAGGGGTATCCACCCTTCTTAATGTCCCACTGTTTAATGTGTGAAGAAATTCTGCCAAGGTGACCAGCAGAGACTGACCAGCTTGCTGCTAGGATTCGTAATTAGATTGCTGGTGCTAAACTTTAGTTGCTCTGGATCAGTGCCCCTTTAATCTGTCACATTCCTTTGCATGTCATTCCCTTCAAGGTCAGACAATGGGCAGGGAATAAAAATGACCTTGTCTTCTTGTTTTTAATTAAATGATAATTATTGTGGTTAGTAAGTGTATGAGAGCGTAATCTGTGTGTGATATTTATCTTTCAGTATTGTAAGTCAACTGCTCAAAAATGTTATTTATTCCATGACCTTGCATGAAAAGAAAATGTGTAACAAGTTTGTCTGATGCAGTCTGGTGTTTTCTGTGAAGATGTAGTGTTGTAATAGACCAAGTTGATATGTGGTTTGTTTCCAGCTCCAAGTTTGCATCCAAGCTCCGCTTTGTGAGGACTTTGCAAGAGCTGTCCCAAATTCTCCCTATGGATCATATCTATGTGCCGGACCAGGTTCAGAGGTAATCTGTCTTCAGTCAACTAAATGCCTATAGATCATATCTATGTGCCACACCAGGTCAAGAGGGTCTTCAGTCAACTAGCTCCCTATAGATAATGTCTATGTGCCAAGCCTGGGCCCCTATTCTCGAAAGTGTCCCAGCTAAGACAGATCCTAAGTAGTTAAGACAGAAGTTAGGACATCCTACCGTTATGATAAGACCCATTCTCGTAACGATCCTATCCCTGTCCTAACTTGTGCTGCCTATCCTAGCTAGGATAGCGAGCTCTTCAGTAGGTGAGATAGAAAAACCCTCATTAAGTTGGGGATTCCCCTAAATATTACTCATGATTCATTTCATAAAAAACACATAACATGAGGAAATTCAGCTTTTGATGGACTTAGTAGATCTAGAAGAAATTATTCGATATTTTCATCACATTATATAGTAGTTTTGAAGTTTTTGAAAATTCATTTTTTGACAAGGCGATAACATTTCTACTTCAGAGTTTGAAAGTCTGACAAAAAACAATAAGGATATTAAAGATATGTGCAAAAAATATTTTCATTGTATTTGTTTTTTATGAAAATCATCACTTGAACTCTCATTATGCATCATCTCACAAACTGAAAAAATCACCTAGGAAATAAACAGGATCGGAGTTACTTCCCCTATCAAGTTGGCCTTGACATTTACATTTCACGGCAATGTGACTGGAAAGAGCAATGTTGTGATTAAAATGGCCGAGAATAGGTAAGAACTGAACAAATCTCTTTTGTAGATCTAAAGAATATGTGCATCGCAACAAGTGTGTCTATTCATTACCGATAAATTGATAATATAAACTCAAAAAACTCTTCGTAACACATCAAAACTGTGTGCTCTTGTAAATTCAAATGTAATTTAGGCGAGTTATTTTGTTTGACGTCAAAATTGGTGAACAAACAACAACCACACCATGTTGATTTCCACTAAGATAGACTTAGGACAAGTCAGAACCTATCCTAGTATTTGTCCTAAGTTAGGATATCCTAGCGCTAGGATACTTTTCGAGAATAAGGTAGGACACCTATCCTTGACCCTAGGATCAAAGTTAGGATATCCTAGGGCTAGGATCCTTTCGAGAATAGGGGCCCTTGTCAAGAGCGTCTTCAGTCAACTAGCTCCCTATAGATCATGTCTGTGTGCCAAACCAGGTCCAGAGGGTCTTCAGTCGTCTAGCTCCCTATAGATCATGCCTATGTGCCAGAACAGGTCCAGAGTGTCTTCAGTCAACTGTCTCCCTATAGATCATGTCTACATGCCGGACCAGGTTCAGAGGTAATCTGTCTTCAGTCAACTAGCTCCCTATAGATCATGTCTACATGCCAGACCAGGTCCAGAGTGTCTTTAGTCAACTAGCTCCCTATAGATCATGTCTACATGCCGGACCAGGTCCAGAGTGTCTTTAGTCAACTAGCTACCTATAGATCATGTCTACATGCCGGACCAGGTCCAGAGTGTCTTTAGTCAACTAGCTCCCTATAGATAATGTCTACATGCCGGACCAGGTCCAGAGTGTCTTTAGTCAACTAGCTCCCTATAGATAATGTCTACATGCCGGACCAGGTCCAGAGCGTCTTTAGTCAACTAGCTCCCTATAGATAATGTCTACATGCCGGACCATGTCCAGAGCGTCTTCAGTCAATTAGCTCCCTATAGATCATGTCTACATGCCGGACCAGGTCCAGAGCGTCTTTAGTCAACTAGCTCCCTATAGATCATGTGTACATGCCGGACCAGGTCCAGAGTGTCTTCAGTCGTCTAGCTCCCTATAGATCATGTCTACATGCCGGACCAGGTCCAGAGTGTCTTTAGTCAACTAGCTACCTATAGATCATGTCTACATGCCGGACCAGGTCCAGAGTGTCTTTAGTCAACTAGCTCCCTATAGATAATGTCTACATGCCGGACCAGGTCCAGAGTGTCTTTAGTCAACTAGCTCCCTATAGATCATGTCTACATGCCGGACCAGGTCCAGAGTGTCTTTAGTCAACTAGCTCCCTATAGATAATGTCTACATGCCGGACCATGTCCAGAGTGTCTTTAGTCAATTAGCTCCCTATAGATCATGTCTACATGCCGGACCAGGTCCAGAGGGTCTTTAGTCAACTAGCTCCCTATAGATCATGTCTACATGCCGGACCAGGTCCAGAGTGTCTTTAGTCAACTAGCTCCCTATAGATCATGTCTACATGCCGGACCAGGTCCAGAGTATCTTTAGTCAACTAGCTCCCTATAGATAATGTCTACATGCCGGACCAGGTCCAGAGCGTTTTTAGTCAACTAGCTCCCTATAGATCATGTCTACACACTGGACCAGGTCCAGAGTGTCTTCAGTCAACTAGCTCCCTATAGATCATGTCTACATGCCGGACCAGGTCCAGAGTGTCTTCAGTCGTCTAGCTCCCTATAGATCATGTCTACACATCGGACCAGGTCCAGAGTGTCTTCAGTCAATTAGCTCCCTATAGATCATGTCTATTTGCCAGACCATGTCCATAGTATCTTCAGTCAACTAGCTCTCTATAGATCATGTCTACGTTCTGAACCAGGTCCAGTGTCTTCAGAGGTAACTTACAATACTAAATATTTATGTAGTATTGTCCACTCATTCTTTTAGAACAGATAGGAAATGTTACATATATTCCTTCCTGACATCCAAACTCCAAGTAATCACCTTGTTGGCCCCACTGTATAACCCTCTATCTGTGCACATGCATCACTCTACAACAGGTGTAATAAGGGAAGAACCAGTATCAAAGGACAGGTATATATAGTAACTTTGCAGATGTGAATAGTTTAGAACATACTTAATCACACATTCTTTACCAAACTCTAATTTGAAAGCTAGAACAGATATAATACATGACAGATGAAATCATGCACACAAATACAGATCATGTTGTAGTTAGTCTGAGCTCCAAACAAAGTAATCTGCCTCTGGGGTTAAAATGTGTTGTGTAATTTCAACAATCAGGCTGGCACCCACTTTGCGTGCATCTGCCTCAGACTGTTTAGTCACATTATGGGACATCTGTCTGCTCTAGTTACACTATGGATGATGCCTGCAGTTGTGTGACAGGAACAACAGGCAGTGTTGGAGTGAGTGAGTTTTAGTTTTACTCCTCACTCAGCAATGTTCCAGCTATATGACGGCGGTCTGTAGATAAACGAGTCTGGACCAGACAATCCAGTGATCAACAGCATGAGCATCGACCTGTGCAATTGGGAACCGATGACATGTGTCAACCAAGCCAGCAAGCCTGACCGCCCGATCTCGTTAGTCGCCTCTTACGACAAGCATGGGTTACTGAAGGTTAATTCTAACCCGGACCTTCATGGGTCAGTTGTTGGAACCAAAACAAGATGTTAGTATTAAAATACTAAAACAAATTCCCTTATCCCCACATTATTTGCTTCTCTCTCTTTCAGCCTGAGATACAGTGGAAACCTCTGTGTCTATGTTCCCCAAGAATAGTAAAAACATCTCACCCTAACGCGCATGCAACCCCATTGCAGTGCGGAGACTCGTCACTCTCTCCATTTTCGCCCAACAGGACGGGTGGGAGAAAATGTCCTCTGCTGTCTAATCCAAGCCAATCCTGTTTTATCACAAGTCATCTATCAAAATTAATGCTTGGATTTCCTTCATATACAGTTTTCCCAGAAATTATTGAGAAAATCTTTGTTTCCTAATCCTGATAATAGAATTTTATAATAGGTGTTACATTATGCAGTAAGATACTCAGTATGGAATGGAACTCTTGTAGGCTTGAGAATGAACCTTACTACATCAAGAGTTATCTCCCCTGGTGTAGCAGACGGCTTCCTTTGTTGACATGGCAGATTTGACAGCAAAAGAGGAAAGAAAGCTGATCCAAGATGATTTTGAAAGGGGTGTGACTAATGCAAGAGAGTTAGCTGGTAGACATGACATTCTTCTGTCTACAGTGTACAGAACTTTGAAGAATATTCAGCTAGGAGTTGGGAATGAGCACAAAACAGGGACAGGGAGACCAAGGAAGTTCAGTACTATGGAATGCGGTGACTTGGCCAGATTGTGAGAAGGGAAAACTGAAAAGCATTGAGAATATCAGAAATGAGATGATTAATAGAGGAAGTCCTCAGGTATGTAATGAAACCCTTAGACAAGATTACAAAGACTTAACTGGGTAAAAAAGCGCGGAATTCCCTCACCATTGATGAAACATGCACAAAAGAAAGACGTTAAACTGGTGTAGGGCTCACGAAAATGAAGATTGGGATAATGTTTTCTTTTGTGATGAAAGTTCTGTCTGTCTTTTTCCGAACTGTGTGAAAATATGGGCAAAAGATACCGTGAAACCTATCTACCAACGCCCAAAACATAGCCCAAAATTTCACATGTGGGCTAGGATATCATCACGTGGAGTGACTACATTGTGTATTTTCACCAGAAATATGACGGAGGAACGATATCTTGACATCTTATATGATCACCTCCTTGGTGTATGAAGATAATTGCATTTTCCAGCTTGATAATGACAAAAACACACTGCAGGCTACACAAAACAGTTGTTGTTTGACGAAAATGTTCAAGTTTTAGACTAGCCCAACTACAGCCCAGATCTTATACCTGTTGAGAATGAGTGGGGACTAATGAAGCACAGAATAAAACGAAAAGGACTTAAAAATACTGAGGATATGAAGAAAGAAGTGGTCGAATATTCGGATACACTGTCACACGATTTCCTGCAAACTTTGATCTTTAGTATATCTAGGCGCATTCAGTCGTGTATTGCAGGGCAAGGAGGTCTCACAAAGTACTGAAAAGACACTTAGACTGTATGAGAATCATATCTCAACATATTCATTTCACTAAAACTTATATAGTTTACATACATGTACTACATATTTGCCGAAACAACTTTCTCAATGATTTATGGGAATACTATTTCCTTTAGACATCATAAAGGCAAGTAAGGTTGTTTCAAAATTTG